TAGTGTAATGACTAAGGATACAATCACATGGTGAGGAAGTCCCAAAGGACCATGGGACTTAGTGGTCGGGCCTGTGGGCCTTGATCTAGTGGCAGTGTCGGCGAACATGGCCATGGACTGAAAAGGGACTAGGTAGAAACTGACAAAGGTGTCAGGAATCCCCCAATTCTTGCCACATTCCTGACTCTCGCTGGATTCCTGACCTGTAGACCACATTCCTGACTCTCGAGACACTTCCCTATTCCTGACTCTCGAGACACTTCCCGATTCTTGAGTCTCGAGCCATATTCCTGATGATGATGTGGCGCCTCCTCGACCTCAGCTATATTTAGGCCATCCTCGATCCAAGAGTGGTGGAGCTTCATCAACCTATAGTATATATAGGTTAGCCTTGTTCCATTTCTCCACAATCTGAATCAACACCAGTCTAAGGCCTCTTCTTTGTTTCCACTAGCTTTTCTCTTTGTCTTTAGCATTTTCTAGTCTTGATCTTGTTGGGGGTCTTGACAAAAGGGATATTGGGGACTATTCCCCATGTCTATAGGCATCCTAAGAATGCTAAGGAGTGGATCTGGGTTGACCACTCGTGGACAGATGGCTTAGTTTTGGAGAGATGGGATTGTGATGCAAGTGGTATTGGACCACTAGTGCGGCAAAGGTGAATGGGCATGGCCTTAGCATAACAGGCCGATATGTCAGTGGTACCTTTGGGTGTCAGTCTTGGGACCAGACACGTGGAGCACTTGGACCAAGTGCAATAGTTGAGTGGCACAGATGCCATTCTTGGGGCTAGCAAGTCCCCAAGTCTGGAATAGGACTTATGGAGGTTGTGAGTGAGACTCCTTCAAGCGGTCGGAGGTGTGGTTAAGTGACTAAAGTAGAATGGAAAAATTAGTCGCTTACATTATTCAGTCTCTATGGTTTTTCAGGTGACATTGTGAGTGATCAAGATCCCAAGTTCACATCCAAGTTTTGGCAAATGGTTTTTGAGAAGCTAAAAACTAAGCTGAGCATGAGAGCATTCACAATCAGATGGGTAGATAGAGCGCATGAATTAGCTATTAGAAGATATATTGAGGTCTTTCATGGGAAACATGACTCAACAAAGAGTATGGGACAAGTACGTACCTTTGCTTTAGTTTGCTCATAATAGCACTCATCAATTGGCTATTGGCATGTCTCTGTTTATGGTGATGTATGGTTATAAGCCTAGGTCTCCCATGAGTTAGAGTTTGGCTTTGGTTTGGGTATCTCATGCTTGTGATTTCCTGGAGGATATGCAAAACAAACTTGAGTTGGCAAAGTTGAACATGAGGCAAGCTCAAGATTGAGACAAAAGATTGGCTAATGAGCATCATTGTCATCAAGAGTACAAAGTTGGTGACAAGGTTTTCCTTAAGCTATCGGATGCACAACAGTCTGTAAAAGGAGGTGGTAGTGCTAAGTTATCTCCACAGTATTGTGGGCCTTGAACAATTTTACAGCGTGTGGGGGATCTTGCGTACATTTTGGATTTGCCAGCTAGTTTGAAGATTCATCCAACGTTCCATGTGAGCAAGCTTAAAGCGTGTTTGCATTCTGGTGATGTTATGGATTAGTCCATCATTCAGGTTCCAAAGATTGATGTTGAGAAAGTTGGTCTGGCCAATATTCTTGCTCAAAGATTAGTGAAAACACGCCAGAAGACAACTAAAGAGTTGTTAGTTCACTGGAATGGTTATTCCATAGACAAAGCTACATAAGAAATTGAGGATGATATGAAAAGAGTGTTTCCGAGTTTTGTTATGACTTGGATGACATTCCTAAGGAAGAGGAGAATTGAGTTTTATAGCCATATTGCTATATGATTTGAGCTGTTTGTTCTATTCTCATTCTTTTGTTTCCATGACTGTATTGTCGTGCGAGAAAGTTGTATTGCTCTGTCTTTCATGGCCATTTGTTGCAACATTAATGTTGCCATTTGCACATCTCTTCTCCATGGCCATATTGCCTTGGACTCCCTTCATGTGAAGCTCATTTAGCTTCTTGAGGTTGTTGTACGTGGCTGGGTCATGAGGGAGGGGAGAATGACACAAACCACAGGAATATTCCAAGAATATTTCATAGCTGGTAATGCCTTTAAGGGTTGGGAGGTTGGCCTAGGGTTCACCCTATTGTTCATTTCATTATGAACATCATCATAGATAGTCTAAACCATCAGCACCAATGATATTGCCACCATTCCAAGGTTAAGTTCCTTACCCTAAGTCCATGCCTTAATATACCTTTGACCCACATTAATCATATGGTCAAAGATGGTGCCTAAATATCATCAGGCCTGACCTGAGTGGAGAAATGTTAGTAACTTTCTTAGCCATTGTTTTTGAAATCTGAGGAAAGTTTCAGACCCAGTGGATTTTTTCTTCTCATTGGCTAAATTACTCAGATATGGTGGCATCTTGCTTTACTGCTGAAAACTTAAAAGCTTGCAGCTCCATTGGATTTAGATCAATAAAACCTTTCCTCTTCCCAGGTCCTGCTCTTTCCATTCTGGGGGTCTGTTCTATATAACCAACCTGTATGGAGTCGTGGACAAAATTGATGCTCGACTGAACAATATTCTGAACCTGGACTGGCTGAAATATATCGAAAAGATTCAGACCCTGTTCATCATAAACTTTGAATCCGTTTTTCTCATACGATCTGTCCCATCCACTGCGATAGAGGGTCAGTCCGTACTGCAGAACATCAGATCTCTCATGAGACGATTTAAGTGACTTCAAATTGACAAGGTGAACATCGCAAGGAAATTCCTTTTGCATTAACACCAAAGAGCCAACCTCTGAGTTTTCAAAAGCTTCAGCCTTTCCCAAATAGACAATTGGCTGATAGTTCAGTTTCGCCCCAATAGAATGTGACAACAGTGATTGCATCTGAGACGACGAAGGTGGTTGCTCAGAAATATTTTTTTCCAAAAGAAGGTGGAAAACTATGTTGACGGGTCTATTATCCATAATTCCTTGTTCTAGGCCTCTGCCATCATCCGTGGACAACCTCCTGTCAAGCATCATTTCTAGCCATCCGTTTCCAAGGCTGGCCGCACCTAATGCCTGTCTACTATGTACAGAAAACCTGTGTCCATGTCCTTGCAAGCAAGCTAACGAAGACATTGGATAGTAGTTTCCTTGCAGCGGAATTTTGTCATAAGTTTTCCGGGCAACTGCTTGAAAACCATTTGAATCCGTAAAAAATGTTCTCTTGTTTTCAATCCCAGTTTTGAACCGAACAATAACCTCTTTGTTGTCAAAAACTCTTCCAGTGAGCTCAACATAGTACTCCATTTCCACAATACTTGTCATTTTAAAAATTCTTGCTGATCTCATAATGGGCTTTCCTCCAAATTTGCTTTTTGGAACGAGATGCAATTCTTCCATGATAGGTCCCTGTGCCATTATTAGCAAACCACCTTTCTCAACAAGGGGATCAGCCTCACGTAAAGGAGAAAAAACATATGCACCACCTTGTGTAGAGTAATAAAGCATCTCTTCCTCTACTCTGATTTTTTCCTGAGTCTGAGTGTCTTTGATCCATTTCATGAAACCAGAATGAGAAAAACCCAACGTTTGTGTCCTGGTGGAGATCTGAATGTCTTTAGAGTTTGGAAATGTGGTACACTGATAAGGCTCTGGACAAGCTATGCCATTCTCTGAAATAGTTAGTGTCGCTAGAACAGCCTTCTGGCAAAAACCGTAGCTGTTCGATTCCATCAGGAAGTACGTCTCAAACCCGAGAGCAGGAAGGTGTGTTTCCCATTGAGCTCTGTGTCTTCCAGTAAATAAAGACTCCTTTGTCCATTCTGGAGCTACTTGGCTTTTAATACTTCTCATTTTTTTATCGAAAACACAGAATAGAGGGCTGTCAACTAAAAGTACCATAACATGATCCACGATCATGGCAAGTGGATTGAAGATAGTCACCCGATGCATATGGTTAGCTGTTAGGTTTATTACCTTCTTTACCGGTAACAAAGTAAAATGGGAGCGACTTTGTTCCAGTTCAAACCAGTTTGCATTCTGTTTCTTTTGGTTGAAAAGAAGCAATTCAACACTCGCAAGCATCGATTTTTGAAGACCGACAAGGGAATTATGCATGCGGTCTGCATAATCAGCAACAACATGATTAGTTGCTGTACCTGTAATTCCATCATGGTGTTGGAAAAGAGCCAGATTTTCTGTAGCTAAAACGAGGTTTTGTCTGAACTCTTTCAAAAGCAAGCGACCAAAAGTCGAATTGCATTTTAGTTGTGTGAAAACGAAGAGTATGTTGGCTGCCCGCAGTGTCTCCTCAAGGAGTCTGTCTAAGGCCTTGTAAAATGGACGAGTGACGTAATATCCACTCCAGTAGTCATCTTCTTTGTCTGCATACGCAAAAAAATCGCCTGATAGAGCTGGAAAGTCAGTGACACCAGTCCCGTGTAGTGCCTGAAAGTAGTCTTCAAGGGTTCCAAAATTCACATCCATTTTCATCCTCGAATTTGCATTGATGAAGTCAAAAAGTTTTTGATAGTTACTAAACTGAGCCTCTGCTTCTGCTGCGCTGGAGTACCGAAAGTCATCCCCAAGGGGAACAAGCAGCATGTTAGTTTTGTACAGCGTTGATTTCTTTCGGTACTGGTCTAGCAGCATGGCAGCTTTTTCTTCAATATTTTTGTCGGTGATAGCTTCTGGACGTCTTCCCCACGGACAAGGTAGTACATTACTATATCCTGGTATTCTCCAAAAGTCAAACTGGCAACAGACGGCTGGTTCCGGTCCACACGTATGAGGTATGTCATAAAAGTAAAACGGCATCATATGACACAAAATATCTGTAGTGTTTTTGGAGTCCCAATTTTGGCGCCAGATGAACTCTAGACTCTTCTTGGAAGCAAGAGACTTCTTTACCTCGTAATGAGTCCGCTGAATGACCATGTTCCTAAATCCCATCCGTTTTAGAAGAAAGGCCATAGTGGACGAATGACCAAATGGATCTATGGACCATGCATTGGTTGGTGCTACACCGATATTGTCTACTACCCACAGATTTCCTGCAGTCATCTGTAAAACAACACAGTTAAATCAATAAAATCTTGCTTCAAGGCCTTAACCTGTTCAATGATTGCATAGTAGTGAGTATTTGCCTGCAAAAAGAGATATTTATGGAATCAAAACCATCCAAGTCAAAGAAGACAGGAAATCTCACTTCATCATTCATTACCCACCCGCCTCCAACAAGTTCAAGTTGTCCGTTTCTAACAAGAGCAATAAAACCATCTTTCTCTAATGGGGATGCGTCCTTCCACCATTCCTTTAGGTACGAAACTTCTTCCCATATGAACTTACGTCTGTGATCCTAAGGCAAAGAACACAAGTGCTACCAATTGTAAAATGATCGAGGCAAACCTTTTGTAAAGATCTCACAACGTTGCTAAGAATATGACGAGTGCGTTCTTGATAGTATTCCTCAACAGTTTTGATCCACCCAGGATCATTATGGGAATGAGGAACAACGAATACTCGTAGGTTCTGGTGATCCCACTCATCACCCCTGTACTCTACATTCCACCCTTGAGTCCAAACTCCTCCATGCTCATTCTCAAACTTGATTTCATCATATAGGTTTTGGGTGGTAATCTCCACACAAGCCTCCATGGTGCTGTAACCAGTGATGGTACCATGACTG